GGGTCGTAACAGATCATACCAAGGTCACCTCGACTGTGTCAGCTGGGAGATAGATCAGTACTTCCTGGAGGGAATAAAAAAGTATACAGTTGTGAAAGTGGGGGTAATTACGGCAGCACGTATCATTTTGAGCTTGTGGAAGGATCCCTCTTCTACTAATATCAGAGAGTGGAAAGAAAATAAGTCCTGACAGGGCGAAGCGGTCCCCAACGCATGGAGAGGTCTGCTTTTGGCCTGAACGTACTTATTTTCCGATAATGACCTGCCTACTATACATTATTCCGCGTATTATACGGCTTTGTACCAACAGAACACACAGAATAAATTTCAGTCCACTTTTATGAATGACTGCAAATAGTTCCCAAAGGTTTTCCCGTGGCTATGTGAGTAACAGTTAGGCTAGTACCTTTCAAACTAGAACTCTCTCGAACTGCATGAAAACTGAACAATGAATTCTGAACATCAGCGGTGAGTGACCCATATATAAACTCAACCTAAATCTATAATTCAATCCTCTGCAAATGTGTCCTCAATGTCATGAAAATTTTAACAGATCATTCTGAAAACCTCCGTGCACGTGGGTTAAGAATGTATATGTTTAATGTATTCTCCGATTAACATTTAAATGTGTTGATTGATTGGTATTTGCGTTTATTGAGCGTGGCTGGCTCCGACAGGTTCTCTCGCAGAGACAGTGGTAGTGACGCAGCCCGTTGTGACGTGGTGGCTGGACTACTCGCGGAATAATCTACACACCCGAATTACAAGCAGAGATTGCGTTGCCATGGCCAGCGGTCATTATTGTTTTGAGAGGTCATTCAAATCAATGGAGTGTTCTACTGCTGCTGTGAGGAGCCGTATAATAAAGGGGAGGAATACAGGGTACTCTTTGTTTACACCTGTTATATAATTTATAACATAATTATAATAATTTATAACTGTTATAAATATATATATATATATATATATAAAAAAAAAAAAATATATATATATATATATATATATTAGGGCTGTCAAAGTTATCGCGTTAATTCACGTTAATTACCAATATCATTAACGCGTTAAAAAATAATTAACGCATGTCCGAATGACCCGCCCATTTATAATAATATCACTCAGAATGCCACGGACACGTGCGTGTGTGATGGTGACAGCGGTAACGTGGTCATATAATACACGTATATATATACGCACAGGGGCGTGTATATACACATTCTCTGATGTTGTGTGACACACGGAGGAGAGGAGGAGACACGCTGAAATGCAACCAAACTCGCAAAATTAAAGCTGGGGTACCTACATTTTTCCTTTCATTAACAGCTCTTGTTGGTTGTACCCAAAAGTAGAAGGTTGTGAGCAAGTCAAACAGATTTAAGTATATTTGGTATGAATAACAATGTGTCATTACATTTGAAAATCTCATTTAACTTCAATTGGAGTGGATTTGAAATAGAATGTTAAAAATGCGATTTATCGTGAGTTAACTCACCATTACTATGCGATTAATCAACTAAAAAATATTAATCGTTTGACAGCCCTAATATATATATATATATATATATATATATATATATATATATATATATATATATATATATATAAAATCATATAACAGAGGTGTAAACAAAGAATCATGCACAGGCTTGTTATTTTATTTTGTACGTTATAGGCCCATAATCTATGTAAGTTTGGAAATGTAAGACTACTGCTGTTGTAAAACCAAATAATAATTATAATGGAGAGAAAGGTACATAAAAGTCTTGAGGTGAGCTCGAACCCATGACCTTCATGCTCAAAGGCCAATTGCCATACAACCGGAACTGTGTGTTCAGTGTCTGTGTAGTTACCGGGTCGGTGGCGGGCTGCATCTCGGTACAGTTCTGTGATCGGGGCACCTGCTCCTCCTCCTCTCTGCATTCACGTAATGTCTGGTTAATCTGTGGATTAGAGGTAAAAAGTGGTAAAAAGTCTAACCATGACTGCTCATGAAATAAAAATGCATTTTACTAACCTATAAACTATTGGCCTTTTACACTGACCACAAACTCAAGGTTTGGGTCGCGCTTTCAGACAACTCATACACCACCATACTCTATGTGGCTCCCACCACTCTTGTCTTAGTATAAATGCAGGCTCATACTCCTTCTGTCTTATTATACATTCAGACTCAGACCACAGCGCGGTTACTTTGCATTTCCACTAGGGTTGGGAAAGACCTCCCCCTGGACTGCCACCTTAACGTTGTGGGGATGTTTGAGTAGGTAGGGTCTCCCATGGCAAATAGGTCTCGGATGACGAGTCAGACAAAGCGCAGTCGGGGCTCCATTCTAAGCCCGAAAGTACGACGTGGGCAGGCCCTCCTTTGTACCCACCACCCACAGAGGGAGCCGTGGTGGCATGTTGTAGAGAGGACTGGGCAACAGTCAAAGGCGGAGACCTCGACGACCAGATCTGGACAACCAACATCTGGCTCTTGGGATGTGGAACGTCACCTCACTGGGGGGGAAGGAGCCCGAGCTCGTGGGGGAGGTTGAGAGATACCGACTAGAGATAGTCGGCTTCATCTCCACACACAGCTTGGGCTCTGGAACCCAACTTCTTGAGGGGTTGGACGCTCCACTTTTCTGGTGTTTCTCGTGGGGAGACGCGGCAGGCGGGGGTGGCCATACTCATTGCCCCCCATCTCAGCCGCAACATGTTGGAGTTCTCCTCGATGAATGAGAGGGTCGCGTCCCTCCGCCTCCGGGTGGGGGACAAGTCTCTCACTGTTGTGACAGCCTACGGGCGTAACAGCAGTGCAGAGTACCCGCTCTTCTTAGAGTCCCTGGGAGGGGTACTGGACAGTGCACAGACCGAGAACTCCGTTATTCTCCTGGGGGACTTCAACGACACTTGGAGAGGGGTGATTGGGAAGAACGTTCCCCCTGATCTGAACCCAATCGGTGTTCAGTTGTTGGACTTCTGTACTAGTCACAGTTTGTCCATCACGAACACCATGTTCGAGCACAAGGGTGTCCACCAGTGCACGTGGCACCAGGACACCCTAGGCCGGAGGTCGATGATTGACTTTGTTGTCGTATCATCTGACCTTCGACCGTATGTCTCGGACACTCGGGTGAAGAGAGGGGCGGAGCTGTCAACCACCTGGTCGTGAGTTGGATCCGCTGGCAGGGGAGGAAGCCAGTCAGACCTGGCAAACCCAAGACAAAGGGGTGTCCTTTGGGAGGGTTCTCCGGAAGTACGAGGTCCGGGGTCCTCTGCTGAGGGCCGTTCGGTTCCTGTTTGACCGGAACAAGAGCTGCATTTGCAGTGCCGGCAGTAAGTCAGACCTGTTCCCAGTACATGTTGGCCTCCGCCAAGGCTGCCCTTTATAGTCGGTTCTGTTCACTGTCTTTATGGACAGCATTTCTAGGCGCAGCCAGGGGCTGGAGGGTATCCGGTTTGGGGACCACAGGATTTCATCTCTGCTGTTTGCGGACGATGTTGTCCTGTTGGCTCCAATGAACCAGGACCGGCAACATGCACTGAGACGGTTTGCAGCCAAGTGTGAAGCGGCTGGGATGAGAATCAGTACCTCCAAATCCGAGGCCATGGTGCTCGACTGGAAAAAGGTGCCTTGCCTGCTCCAGGTGGGTGGAGTGGTCCTTCCTCAAGTGGAAGAGTTAAAGTATCTCAGGGTCTTGTCCACGAGTGAAGGAACGATAGAACGTGAGATTTACAGGTGGATCAGTGCACCGTGCTCTGTGATGCGATCGCTGTATCGGACCATCGTGGTGAAGAGGGAGCTGAGCCAAAAGGCAAAGCTCTCGATTTACCGGTCAATCTTCGTTCCCTCCCTCACCTATGGTCATTGGCTTTGGGTAATGACCAAAATAAAAAGATCGCGGATACACACGGTCAAAATGAGCTTCCTCCGCAGAGTGGTTGGGCACTCCCTTAGAGATAGGGTGAGGAGCTCGGTCACACGGGAGTAGCTCGGAGTAGAGCCGCTGTTTCTCCATGCCAAGAGGAACCAGTTGAGGTGGCTCGGGCATCTGTTCCGTATGCCTCCTGGACGCTTCCCTGGGGAGGTTTTCTGGGCATGTCTCACAGGGAGGAGACCCCAGGGAAGACTCAGGACACACTGAAGGGACTATGGTTCTCAGCTGGCCTGGGAACGCTTTGGGGTCTCCCCGGACGAGCTGGAGAAAGTGTGTGTGGATAGGGAAGTCTGGGCGTCTCTGCTTAGACTGCTGCCCCCGTGACCCGGCAATGGATGAAGCGGAAGAAAATGGAATATAAAAATGGGGGGAAAAAACTAGGATTGGACATGGGATCAGGGTGTTTTTTTCGTACCACCTTGACAGTGGTTCCAAGCGTGCCGAAGCTACATCATAACAGTCAGCCGACTGCCTTACACTGATTGGTCAACGAGTGTCACTGGAAGCGACGTCTGACCCTATGGTAAAAATAACTCAACCCCGCCATCTTTAAAACTGGCTGCTCTGCTATGATAAGTCCTCCTCACTCCAGAGAACTGGAATCGCACAGAAAGCCCCAAAAGTTAACGTCCTGGTTGGTCAACGAGGTCCACACGTTACTCTCTTTAGTGGCCGAAGAAAGCATTCAAAGGCAGCTCGATGGCAAAACACGAGGAGGAGGAGAAGGTTTTCAGGGAGATCGCCCAGCTCTTGACTTTTGTCACAAATCCTCAAAATAACTGGCTAGATTCGTATCCCGTTGGCCCAAATAACTCACACTGAAATGTATTTACCCGTGTAAAAGTTTGATTGTCTGTTGTACACAGTGAGCTAGCTACATTTAGATATCGATAGCAAGCTAAGCTAAAACGTCCTTCCTGTGCTATTGTGCTGTATCTTGCGCTTTCGCGTGTTGCTGTTCTGTTTTGTGCTTGTCACATGTTGCGTGTATATTTTTTTGTTTGAGAATCCCTCCCCACAAGTGAGGACAACCAACGAACAATGAATGACCACTCGTCCCCTCAGTATACATAGTTCCAGTCACAGGTAGCAGCTCACCTTGTTGACCCAGAAGAGCAGTGCGTTCTCCCAGGGAGCGCCCACACCGACCTCTGCCTCTGTCGCCATCTGTACCTGCTCCAGAGTGTCCTGAGCAGCTAGTGCCATGAGAGCGTCAACCAGTGCCAGGTGTGCTTTCTGCAACACAAGAGGAGCCTAATTTTTTCCCGGAGGTTATTTACACCAGCATTTCATGTTTTAGATTGTAAAATCATCATCATTTTCAGATATTCCAGTAGTTTTCATTTAGAATTCTGTGAAAAAACTACTCATTCATATTTTCCTTTGTTTTGTAAATAGTCAACTGTTACAAAGTTTACATCTAGAAAAGCATAATTTTTTTCACTATTATTATTCGTTTGGATTCATAGTATTTATTTGTGATATTAAAAGTCAAAAAAATAGACACAAAGTCAGTTAATGGTAGTTTTTCCAGTTTAGTGCCCAAATTTGAATGTGATCGTTTTTCATAATAATTTTTGGTATTGAAATATTTCTTCATAAATAGTAATATTCCAGGAATACATGATTTTTTGTGTGATCTCAAAGGCCAAGTAATTTTGGTGTTGATGAAATAAGTAGTTCTGCAATGAGAAACCTCCAAACATGGTACATCAGGCTAAAATGTCCAAATTTTGATCAAAACCACAACTTTGACAACGTTTTTCTCATTATCGACAGGGATTCTGTTTGTGGAACTTTTTTTCGACTAACTGTAACTATTTAGCATTAACATAAAGCAAAAAGAAAGTATTTCCCACAATCCTGGAACGGAAGTCAATTTCTAGACCTCTTTCATGAACTAGCACATGGCCTACAAGTTATGTGATATGTGTTGTGCATATAGGGATAGGGGGCTGCCGCATCCCAGCTGGTGTTTAGAGGGAGTATTGAAGATTTTTGCCAGTTTATTGAGTTAACGGAATTTTTTTTAGAAAGTCTCTATGAGGCGGATGGTTTCATGTTTGTGGGTTCTGTAAGAAAAGTAAAATGTCATATGCATAGAGGCTGATTATATGGTGCATTTTGGGTGTTTGGATGCCAGTAATTCAATTATTATGTCTTATTGCTGCCACCAGTGGTTCAATGAATATGGGGAATAGGTATGGAGAGAGTGGGCATCCCTGTCTAGTTCCCCTTGTTAAAATGAATCTTTGTGAGTGATATTGGAATGTAACTTAAGTCATCATCAGTGGTAAATCATATGTGGCTATGTGCTGAATGCTCTGTATTGTAAGCCACTTTAGCTCCAGCAAGACACCGGGAGGTCTGGGGAGCTCATATGTTAAACAGTAGAGGAAGCAGTCTTTGTATAACTAATACGGAGTGTCTTTTGTTGTGTTGGTACTTCCTTTCCAATTCTGCATACAAAGGTGTGTCTTGTTCTACCAAAAGGGGCTTGCAGACTGTGAATCTTCAGACTTGTCCTGAGAGAGGCTAGGGTCTGTGCCTTGCCTCTGTCAAGACATTCTCCTTGTGACAATGTAACAAGTAAAATATTAACTTTGTCTCTTTGTTGTGTGAGATTTCATCAGGTTCAACTGTAGCTGAAACAGCATTATCAGTGAGGTTAGTCCATTAGTTGTGACAGTTGCTGTTGGTGATGTGTATAAAGTGTTTACCAGTTAATGAATGACTCTCCAAAGCCAAATTAGCTGTAAAGTATATTTGAGGAATGACCAGTTGACTTTATCAAATGCTTTTTCTGCATCAAGACTAGCAGTTATTGTGTTCAGTTTGTTATGTTGTGAGTGATCTGTGATCTAATGTTGATGAGTCTGCAGGTGTTGGTGGATGAGTGTCGGCCCTTTATAAATCCGGTAAGGTCTGGGTGAATTATGGAGGGCATGATTTGGTCGAGTCTGTTTGAGAGTTTTTTTTTTTTTTTATCATTTAGAGGTCAGTATTGAGAAGGGAAATGGGGCGGTAGCTTCTTGTGTGGGTTGGGTCTTGTGAGATTTCATAACACTTTTAAGCAACTTTTGTTAAAGTTAAACTCATCATTCTATCAATGTGCAGAAGCCTGTACTTTTCCACTACTTGTTTTGACAATCTCTGCTGGCACTGTGGCAGCTGCTGATTGGAGGTCTCCATGCCTCCGCTCTGTATAATACACTTGCATTCTGTTGTTCGTGTTGTTCGTGCTGTCTCTACCATCGACAATAAAACATGTCTTCTGTCTGAATGAAAGACGCGATCCCAGACAATGTCATCTTCTTCAGTCTTTATTGGGATACAAGATCAATGAAAGCGCTGCTGTGTTCATATGGTCTGGTATGTTTTAATTGTGTGGAATATTTCTGTAATCAACCTTATAAAGAGCGGGGAGAGTAGTGTCCAGACGTGCTAGTGCTCAGCAGGAAAGCCGTCTGGTCCAGATGATTTGTTATTGGGAATTTTTGAGAGAGCAGTGAGTAGTTCTTTTTCGTAAATAGGAGATTCAAGTATATCTATTTGATCCGGGTTGAGCTGGGGTAATTTAATAATAACCATCAGTCCAAAAAGAACTGTGTCTTTACATCACAGTTGAAATGAGTTATGAAACAATGAGTCTATAGTACTGTCACATAACCTTACGCCTAGAATACAGATTTAAAAAGATTTGGATTGATCTTAAAAAGCTCGTCATTGTTTTTGTTCTGAAGAGGAGAAAGTAGCTAGCTTTGGATTCCCAGGCAACCCCTGTGAGATTGCTGTGGAGTGGGATTATAACATTCTCTCCAAAACTATGCACAGGGGGTACACTCGCGTATACGAACAATTGTGGCCAAACGCCAACGCATCCAGTGACACCAAACCATACCTTAAGCTTTGATCCTTGCAGCCCTCACAACTGACCAAGTGCAAGGAGCACTTGGTTCCATGTGTGTATGGAGGAACTGACCCAAGTGAGGGCCGATAGTTCTGTGTGTGTGGAAGAACTCACCAGTGCGAGAGGCGCGTGGCTGAGCTCTGTCTCTGTCACGGCTCCCTGCTCAGTCCGCACACTGATGCCTTTCTTATTGAGCAGCTGCAGCAGGCTGGCCGTGTCCCCCGGGGCCCCTGCCTGTCTCCCGGGGACTGCTTGGGCGTATGGCGGCTGGGACAGCAGCAGGTGAGACAGAACGGGCTTCAGCTGCTGTTCCCCACAATGGTCTGTGGACAGTGGGTCGCACAGCTCCTCCGGAATGGGCTCTGGTGGGACATACAGGTGACAGGATGTATGAAAACCCAGTGTTCGTAACTCATGAGGCATGGTAGTTTGATTGCCAAAATTGGTGTAATTTATGCACATTTAATTTAAACCTGGATACAGGGAAAGTGACGGCACATAGGGTTCCTTTCCTTAGACATCAATTTTGACATTTATCAACATTCATGGACATTGGTCTCTCCCTATGTACCAATACATATGTGTATTTTTTGTGTCTTAACTGTTGATTCTCTGATCTGTGTTAATGATTTCAATGGTTTTGTTAAGTGCTCTGAAATGACTGCTGTTGTGATTTAGGGCTATACAAAAATAAATTGTATTAAGATAAGATAAGATAAGAATTCCTATTTGTCCCACAGTGGGGAAATTTTGATGTTGCAGCACACATATAGGACAGTAGTAAGAGCACACAGGGAGCACACACAATATATACAAATAAGTAGTAGCTGTTTCTCAGCTAACATAACTAGCTGTAGACGCTGAAAATGCTTCGATACCAGTCAAAAAATATATATTTAGCAGTAGTGCAGTTATTTACTGTACAGTTAAATAGTGCAGGATAATAAGTAGATAAGTAAAGTGATATGAGGTAAAGTGACATTGTTCTGTGACATTCTGAAGTTGCAGTATTGCACATTGCACATGATTGAAGAATTTACTTAATTACAGATTAATGAAAAAATATGTTTGAAAATGTTTATATTGCTCCATGTGGAGGATGAACTTGCTGCCATTTCCTCCAAGTGTGTAAAACCAGGAGAAAAAGACTTGAGGTGCCCATTTCCATAGACATCAATTTATTTCTGTCACGTCGCTTACATGACAAATAAATTGCTTTGAAAAATGACAGTGTAACAAGATATGTAACAAGCTTTCACTATCAGAGTATGAGCACATGCTTTTCTTTCTTTTATAAAATTGTCATTGTAGAAAATATGTTGGAAAATGTTTATATCGCTCCATGTGGAGGATGAACTTTCTGCTATTCCCTCTAGTATTGAAGGTTAGAAATTTGTTTTAACTAGGGATGCACCGATACCACTTTATTTTAAACCGATACGAGTATGAGTACCTTAACTTGAGTACTTGCCGATACCTATACGAGTACTGAATTGTGTTATCCCTTGGAATTCATAAAACTAATACAACTGAATTTCAACATGTTTTATTTCTCATTTCAACAATAAGAAAATGCTTTAACAATGAAACATTTTAGCAATTATTTTAACAGTCAACAATAAGAGCCACTGTCATATTCCACTCACAGGGTTTCCTCCAGAGGGGGGGATGGAGGGGATCAGTCCCCCCCTAGCCATGGCCCAAGGGGGGAATATCCCCCCCTCAATTTTCTTACACATGCATGTATACAATTCTCACATCATAAAGTACAAAAACATTATTTTCATTGGGATACATCTGATCTGGCTCGCTGTCTAATCTATAATCTAAAACATGATAGTAAAAAAATTACTTACAAACACCAAATCAGAAACTTCCGTACAGGAAACATTTGTTATTCTTTATTCTGAATAGGAGTCTCCTCAGATGAATAGCGATTCTCTTTTCGCGGTCTTGCAGATTTATTTGTAGCATGATTTTCACTGTATATGAACTTGCAATGTTCATCCTGATTGGCTAAGGAAGAACCAGTGTAATGTGTTCTGCATCCTGATTGGCTAAGGGGTAATCTCTGTGCAGTGTTTCTCTGTTCGTGGAAAGAGTTTATTCATCAGTTTGAAACCTGTGCAAGAGCTAATCACTGGACAAAAAAGACCAAAGCTATTTAACTCAGATTCAGCTGGTGGTGCTGGTGCCATTGTTCATAAAAATCCAAGATCCGCTGAATGGGGCTATGAACTAGGGCTGGGCGATAAAACGATAACGATGTATATTGCGATAGACACGTGTTCAATATCAATAGAAAACGGGGTCGATAGAACTTCGATAGTTTCACTTCAGTCCGTTCGAAAAAAACAGGAACAAAACACAGGAAGTAAAGCTGAGTCAGAAGCGCGTGGCATTCTGGGGTATGTAGGCAAAGGCTTCTCGACCTATCACAGCCAACTACAAACCGCAAAACTTTCTAAGAAATGCAAAAACATCAACCGCACCATGGATCATGGATCTATTATAATAGCCATGGATCTAAAGACCGTGTTTCAGTGCCGTGTCAATGGTTATGCATGTCCGTGCGAAGAATAGCATGTGCAGCGGGAGAGGCAGTGGGTACAGAGACTCCATGCATTCGGCAAAAGCAAGAGATGAACTTTTTCCGGAGCCGCCACAGGGACACAAGACACTCGAAAACAGCCAAAACAGGAGCTAAACCAGGACTAAACCAGGATTAAACCAGGACTAACTATGGGGGAGACTGCTTGTGAATATTTGTCTGCTGCCTCATTCCCCCGTGACTGTAAACAAGGCTGCTAACATGTGTTAGCAGACACGACAAATGTATTCATTTACGTTTTTAAAAATAAATTAAAAACAATCAATATATATTGTTATCGACCGACATGAATTACTTTTATTGTGATATAGTTTTCAGCCATATCGCCCAGCCCCACTATGAACGCATTCTCAGAGAAGTGAATGACGCTTATGGGCCGCACTCAGAGCATGCCGCTGCTGTGGGGATCGAGTTGAGGAAGAGGGTCAGGAAACCAGGTGAGGCTCTGCATACTCTTTGTGATGACAAATGAGAAAGTGGCCATTGTGTATGGGGACCGCACGGACAACAAAAAAGATACTATTGTGGTTGAGGTTTTCACTAATGCCATGACTAATGCAGACATTATGCAGAAGCTCCTAGAAGAGAATCCTCATACAGAATTGCGCACTCACATGAGACAACCAGGAGAGGTGCCAGGGCCGTAACCCAAAGGATTGGGATCCAGGGCGCATGGATCAGGATGCGCACAGAGAACTGCTTTTTTAATGTTCCCATTCTTTTGTGCTGCGGGTTAAAGGCGCTATACCCGTTGCTGCAATGTTTGAATGTTTAGCACCGCCCCCCAACTCGCTCAATGGCTTCTCATTTCCCCTACGCTCTCATAACACAGAGCCACCTAGTTTTATTTGCGATCTGATACATATGCTAACATTAGCATTAGCGCAACTTCTTGTAAGCTGTGCAACAATCACAGATGAAATGGCACTAAAGCAACGCACTGCTAACACAATATATAAGTAAAAGAATACCGCTAGTTTCGCGTCCGAATGTATTAATTTAAAACCTTAGAATATATTCTAATATTTAATTATAATGTGTTATAGAGCTCCTCAAAGCAGCAGCAGCAATTCTTCCGATCATTTTTTCTTGATAACAGAACTCTCAAACCAATAATGACCGAAGCCCCAATGCAACCTCTGTTTGTAATTCAGGTGTGTAAAATACTGCCATTACTCTGCAAGTACAACAAGCTATCAGTACCTGTCACTATACACTCGTCTGTGTAGAGAAGCCAACGGAGCTAGCGGAGCTAGCCACGCTCAATAAACAACTACATATCTATCAATCAACACCATTAAACGTCAATCGGACAATACAGTACACATATACATCCTTAACACACATGCACGGATGATTTCTGAATTTGCTGTTAACGTTTTCATGACAAAAATACTGTTTCAATGTGACAAAAAGCGATTGCGAAAAACCCGGAAGTTACCATGAAACAACTAGCTAGCTTAGCTGTTACCTGCCTACTGTAGCACGTCCCGGTGAAACCTTTGGGAGCTAACTATTTTATTTGCAGTCATTAAATACATTTCGAATTACAAGGGTTGTCTAAGATTTGTTCACATTTTTTATTCAATTATTTTGTTCATTTTTTATTTTAGAATTATATTCGAATTTTGAAGTGGAAGCCCTGGTGTTAAGCAGCGCTGTAGAGGCTAGAGGACGCAGGCTGTTCGCTGCTCGTTCTGTGAGCGGAGGAGAAAGAGCGGCCCGCTCAGGATAGGGCACTGTCCGGTTTCCGAAATGTGCTAAAAATAGCTCAGATGACTGCGCATGCGCGCATGTTTCGGACAAACATTGTGTACGACATGTTGAGTACTACTGTGTTCTCCACATACGCGTGTGTATTTACTTGGGCTAAATCATTGAATCATGGTGACAACAAAACACTGCAGTTATGGTGCTTGTCGGAGCGATTTCAGATACTCTGAAAAGGACTATCAAAGTAACATTCAACCCGTTCGTTAAACCACAACATCGGACCAGATCAGGACCAGACCAGGACCAGATCAGACCAGGACAAGTGCAAGAGGTGGGTGCTTGTGGTCAGCAGAATTTCTCTCATGAAAAGGTTAAAAAGGACATGTTTTTTCAAAACACTTCGCTGGACCAACTGTGGAGTATCCAGATCCAGTCCTAGCTATGTTTAGCTGGGACTGGACCTGGACCGCTGTATCAGGTCCGTCTGAGCTCTTCTGAATGTAGTTAGCCCCATCAATCCATATTAGTATTGTTTGTCCTAATCCAGAAAGTATACAATTCTCACACCTGAAGAAAGATGAGAGGGATTTTTTCAACTTCGTGACTATCGGAAAATAAGTACAGACGAAGCGCGTCGGGGTCCGCTTATTATACGGCTTTGTACCAACTCAACACGCAAAATAAACGTCATTCACTATTAATGCCGAAAGGTTTATTTAATGAGTGCAAAGAAAATAGTTCCCACAGGTTTTCCCGTGGCAGGCGAGTAACAGTGAGGATAGTTAACCTACTTTAAAAAAGCGATCGCTTTAGTTGCATTAAAAAAGTATTTTTGTCATGAAAACCTGAACAGATAATTCTGAAAACCTCCGTGCACTTGTGTTATGAATGTATGTATAATGTATTCTCCCATTAACATTTAAATGTGTCGATTGATTGTCGTTTGCGTTTACTGAGTGTGGCTAGCTCCGATAGTTTCTCTCTCAGAGACAGTAGTGGCGTAACCCGTTGTGACCCCATGGATCTGTTATAATATCAGCTGACTGTAGCTAACTAATGATCAAACTAATTACAAAGTGGATAGTGCAAAAAAAAAAAACAACTTGATAAATGGAAGTTAATCACAGCAAAACAAACAAAGAAGGCGCTAGCATTGCAATTTAAATGACTAGATAATGTTAGCATAATCCTTACCATTATCTTTTTATCAACTCAAACTTTCTACTGGAAGACATTCAAGCCAACGTTATAATTGGTCTACACTATGATCCCTGATGGTTTGATGGTGGAATTTTGCCCCTGGTATTTCATTTTCGTCTAAAGTGACAAGTGGTATTTGATTCATTTCGGCAGTGTTTGTCCGAAACATGTGGGCGGGAGTTGACAGGCGGCGGGGGCGTGTCTTAGTGACGTCATTTAGATAGTTCGCTATCTACTCAGCACTTTTCACTGCTTGTAATTCTTACACAGCTGAATCAATTACCTCAAGTTTTCAATTAAATGATGTATTATGATACAACTTGTATGTAGTAAAAAGCATTTTTATGAACTACTTAGAAAAAAAATCGGGTATAGCTTCTTTAAAGCTTTTTAGCAGCAAACGATGGCTCATCCACATGGTCAGAGCAGCGTGTAACGAGCCGCGTCTCGCAGGTCTCCGCTAAAGTTTAAATACCAGTGATGTGTGTGGAGCTGATGCCAAGGACCAGCAGCACAAACGTGTTTTCCCATATGGTTTGACTGGAGCCCCGTATTTGCGAGGATCCTCTGGGCTGTGTGACACAGAGGAGCGCGTCAGACCGCTATGTGTGTACGTATGTGTGTGTGTGGATATGTCTGTGTGTGTAAATGTAAGCTTCTATGTAGTTCTGACCCGCACCAGTGTGCAACTTTTGCGGACTAGTAACAGAGGGGAGAGATAATGCGTGTGTTTGTTATGTATCAATGGAGGGGGGGAAGTGTGTGTGTGTGTGTGCGTGCGTGTGCGGCGCGTGCTGCATGAAAGTCGGCCCGGAGTTAACTGATACAGTACATTGGCGCACAAAGCCAAATACGGACCCGCTCGTTACACCGCGCGAATAACGGCTTAAAATAGCGTTATTAAGAAACCTCCCCTATCCCCCTTTCCTTCTTTTTAACCGAAAGCTTTGACCGGTTAACGCTGTGACGGTCAACCACCGGTTAAACGGTCACCGATTTACATCCCTACTCTGGAGCTAGACGAAATGTCCTGACGCTGCACCAATTTAACTCCCTCCCCCTACAGCTTAGGCCGCCAGTGCAGATATCTGTTGCTAAGGTGCTTCAGGGAATAGGACCAGAGGGTTTAGCAGTGATCGGAGAAGTCATTCTGCCTGTGGTAGTGGGGGAAAGACAGACTGATATAAACTTTATTATGGTGAGAGAAGCTATCGAAGCTAGCCACAGTCAATAACACACATATCAATCAATCAACACATTTAAATGTTAATCGGATAATACATTATACAGTACATACGTTCTTCCCACACGTGCACGTGTTAACGTTTTCATGACAAAAATACTGACGCAGTAAACCCGGAAGTAACTATTAACATTAGTAGAACATTTTAGGGCACATTTTCAGAGGATCTGATTACACAAGTTGACAGCCAAAAAATGGTCAGGGGTTTCTCAACTGATTTAGACTAATTTTGGTGTTCTGAGTCCGAAAAGCACATGCATTTTGCTCTATCAGGTCAACTTTTTGAGATACAGCCATAGTGTTACGGATTATGTACGTCTACGTTATTATGAATTCTGCTTATCAAATTTGATGGAGTAAATAAAAACTGAATGACTTTGGATACGTTGACTTTTATTTCTTGAGGAAAACGGAAAAAACGTCAAGGGTTTCTCAGCTGATGATCCACAGACATTTGTTTTTATGCAAAATCGTTTTTAAAAAGATATTTTTGTCGCAAAAAATCCTGACCTGATTGAGCAAAACCAAGGTCATTTTCGGACTCAGAGCATCAAAATGAGTCTAATTCAGCTGGAAAACCCTGGAGTATTTTCAAAAAATATTTTTTTGTTACCCAGTGTTATGGATTTAGGTTAGGTCTATATACTTGGGTCACTCAACGCTGATGTTCAGAATTCTTTGTTCACTTTTCAAGTAGTTCCAGAGAGTTCTAGTTAGTTAGCTTGCCAAGCTGTTACCCGTCTAGCCACGTCCGGCGAAACCTTTGGGAACTATTTTATATATATCATTAAAGAAAGATAATGCCCATTACAGCTTCGAACATTAAGGGCTGTCGAATATTCGTTTGAATATATGTATATATATTTAATATTCAAATTATAAATGAGCACGAGCGCGATGATTGACAGCTCTTGGCATCACTTGATTGGTTAACGTGAACGGCATCGTGGATTTCTAGCTATAGCTAAGAGAAGGGAAGGCGGGACTTACCCGTAATATAATAATTCATAAAATTACTCATTTTATATCAACATTTAAGGCCAGGAGGTCAATTTGATAAAATTCTTAAAATGTGTAATTCATTTAGAGTTCCAGACTATCACTTTAACACCTACACTTACACAACATTAGCACCTACATATTTCCATGACAGTACTTGATTTTTTTTTTTCTGCTTGTTCTTACGCATTTTATTTTATTCTTATTAAGTATTATTTTCTTTGGTCACTGCTCTGGATGTCTAAAAAAAAAAATTACATTTATTTTTTATTTTTTATAACTTTGGTGTCTTCCAACAGGCAGGAAGGGTTTCTGGTCAAAACCCTATAATTCTATGGATCAAGGACATCATTAACCATTTCTGGTATGCTTATCAGCACACAAGCACCAGAGAGGAGTTTATGGTCTGTACGAAGATTATACATGGTGACATGGTGAGTGAGTGAGTGAGTGAGTGAGTGAGTGAGTGAGTGAGTGCATGCGTGCACTAAAGGAAAGAATCCTTTAGTTTGATAAGTGACCAGATTTCTCTATTCGTCTTGGTCACTTGATATTGTAGCGCTAAAATGTAAACAAACTGAAATGTAAACAGTCCACGTTCTGAAGATGCACCCGCGCGCTGCACAAAGGCTCTAATAATTTACAAACGAGGTACTGTATGAAGAGAAAAGATGGAGGAATGAGACTTCTGTGAGAGTTTAAATCCACTATGATCAGAGAAGCCAGGACATTGTCTTGGACATGAGCATACACAGTGGCAAAACTGTGGCGAAAGCTCAGATTATTATTTGCTTTAGCCACGGCGCAACACCAGGTAAGAGAATATTCAAACTCAAGCTGTTGATAAACGGTATTCTGGTGATTGTTTTGCAGGGAATTCTGTGTGTTTTGCATATTTGAGACTTGTCCCCTGAATGAGTTTGCAGATTCTGCTTTGTTCTCATTGGTGTGAAGAAAGTTACGTATTGTTTACGTGTCCACATGTTGTTGTGTACAAACTACAGCAATGTGCCTCCTATTGTTTTAACTCTGCCTTTCGGTGCATTTGGTTGGCAATGGCGACACGTTTATTGTTTTGACGAGTGTTTCTAGATTTATGCACAATATTTTTTCTAAAAGATTCTTGTTTGGGTAGTTCTTTTCTTTAACTGTGGTCCTCCATGGTTCCTATTTCAAACTTGTGAGGGCACAGCGGAAACAACATTATTAGTAGCACCTGTGAAACAAAAACGCAATTCTCGCATCCTTTTTGTCCCTTATCAAACACTGTAATTAAATAAGGCGCATTGACATGGAGTCCTCCAGCTCTCATGTACATTTAAAACTCTAAGTCTATGACAACAATTCTAACATGTGTTTTCATTTGGAGCAACTGTACAAATGACAGAGTCTGTGTCATTTGTGTATTTGGGTCTACAAGTGATAAAGTTTGAACCCCTGGTGTGAAATGTAAATACTTTGCATGCATTAATGAACCAATGCTGGTGGGAAGATGAGAAAAAAAACTATTGCAACATTATTTTAAAAGTCTGGTATAGCTTAAAGTCTACATTTACAAGACAATTAGTTTTTTTAATGGCACAGGACGGCACAGGACTGCACAGGCCGTCGGATTGTCCTATTATTTGCTTTGACTTTTCGTTTACACCACTTTAGTGTTAAAAAGGAGACCACAATAGATGACATCACAGGAGACAAGATGAGCAGAAGAAACGCTCCAATTGCCACAAACCCATACGTTGCACACTATTATGGGTTCCACGCGTTATTATAATAGATCCATGGTTCCACATCACTCAAGCACCGCAAAGTGGAATAAGACGGTCATGAGAGGAGAGCACTACACCGCCTGCTCCCCCAAACACGCGCTGACACACTGACACAGTTATCTGGAGATGCATGGCCCATTTTAGGCTACACCCACTCACGCGCACGGAACCACACTGGATAACTGGATAGGAGTCGGAGATGCTCTATACATATGCGTGGAAGAAAGAAAGAAAATAAAACGGGGAAAAAACCTGTCATCTTTAATGGGCAAGCTGCTGCATGGCGCACCTCTCACGCACAGACGTATGCACTCATTATACACACGCGCACACACATACACAGAGGCCGGTTGGTTAATAATCGGATAATTGCCTCATCCCCCTTCCCGGCGTAGGCCCCACCCATGGCCCATTACGAAGCACTCACCGCGGACTTTATGGAGCAGCCATCGCACGCTGGCGCACACTTTGGCCCGACTCGGCTCGTAGCGGTCCAGCGGGGTGAGATCTATTCCCAGGCCCGCAGCGGCAGGCTCCACCATGGCTGCAGTGTAGACAGAGCTCCAGGAAGAGGAGAGAGAAGGATGTGGAGGAGAGGCGTGAGGACGGCAATGGAGAGCGCATGCGCATCGTGGCACGGCAGGTTGAGGCTGCTTTTTCGCAAAAAATAGAACAAAAACAAAACATTCAGTAGTATATGTATCTACGGTGTAAGATATGGAAATATTTGTCTTTTTGCTATGTACATTTGATTTGATATGTTAAAAGGAAAAAACAGTTAAAATCAGTCTACTATAGAGGACCGAAACTGTCAAAATAATAAATATATTAATAAATGTCACAATCTGCATATTATTATTAATATAACGCTACAAATTATGATTTAATAAATGTATATTATTATTTTACAAAATGTTTTGGTTCAAAACAACAGTCTAAATAATAAAGCTTTATTATTTTCTGTCTGGGGTTATTTATTTCCTTATACATTCAAAGGGTAAGATAGATTAAAAAATATATATATATATATATATATATATATATATATATATAATATATATATATATATATATATATATATATACACAGTGCCTTGCGAAAGTATTCGGCCCCCTTGAACCTTTCAACATTTCGCCACATTTCAGGCTTCAAACATAAAGATATAAAATTTAAATTTTTTGTCATGAATCAACAACAAGCGGGACACAATCGTGAAGTGGAACGAAATGTATTGGATAATTTAAACTTTTTTAACAAATAAAAAACTGAAAAGTGGGGCGTGCAATATTATTCGGCCCCTTTACTTTCAGTACAGCAAACTCACTCCAGAAGTTCAGTGAGGATCTTTGAATGATCCAATGTTGTCCTAAATGACTGATGATGGTAAATAGGATGCACCTGTGTGTAATCAAGTCTCCGTATAAATGCACCTGCTCTTTGATAGTTTCTGTTTAAAGCGCAGAGAGAACCATGAAGACAAAGGATCACACCAGGCAGGTCCGAGATACTGTTGTGGAGAAGTTTAAAGCCGGATTTGGATACAAAAAGATTTCCCAAACTTTAGACATCTCAAGGAGCACTGTGCAAGCAATTATATTGAAATGGAAGGAGTATCAGACCACTGCAAATCTACCAAGACCCGGCCGTCCCTCCAAACTTTCATCCAAACAAGGAGAAGACTGATCAGAGATGCAGCCAAGAGGCCCATGATCACTCTGGATGAACTGCAGATAACTACAGCTGAGGTGGGAGAGTCTGTCCATAGGACAACAATCAGTCGTGCACTGCACAAATCTGGCCTTTATGGAAGAGTGGCAAGAAGAAAGACATTTCTCAAAGATATCCATAAAAAGTCTCGTTTAAAGTTTGCCTCAAGCTACCTGGGAGACACACCAAACATGTGGAAGAAGGGGCTCTTGTCAGATGAAACCAAAATCGAACTTTTTGGCCACAATGCAAAACGATATGTTTGGCGTCACCCTGAACACACCATCCCCACTGTCAAACATGGTGGTGGCAGCATCATGGTTTGGGCCTGCTTTTCTTCAGCAGGGACAGGGAAGATGGCTAAAATTGATGTGAAGATGGATGGAGCCAAATACAGGACCATTCTGGAAGAAAACCTGTTGGAGTCTGCAAAAGACCTGAGACTGGGACGGAGATTTATCTTCCAACAGGACAATGATCCGTAACATAACGCCAAATCTACAATGGAATGGTTCACAAAATAGACGTATCCAGGTGTTAGAATGGCCAAGTCAAAGTCCAGACCTGAATCCAATCGAGAATCTGTGGAAAGAGCTGAAGACTGCTGTTCACAAACGCTCTCCATCCAACCACACTGAGCTCGAGCTGTTTTGCAAGGAAGAATGTGCAAGAATTCCAGTCTGTCGATGTGCAAAACTGATAGAGACATACCCCACGCGACTTGCAGCTGTAATTGCAGAAAAAGGTGGCGCTACAAAGTATTAGCGCAAGGGGGCCGAATAATATTGCACGCGACACTTTTCAGTTTTTTATTTGTTAAAAAAGTTTAAATTATCCAATAAATTCCGTTCCACTTCACGATTGTGTCCCACTTGTTGTTGATTCTTGAGATTTTTTTTTTTTATATATATCTTTATGTTTGAAGCCTGAAATGTGGTGAAATGTTGAAAGGTTCAAGGGGGCCGAATACTGAACACTGTATATAATTTTTTATATATATATATAAATTATAGGCCAGGCTATACATTAGGTAACTGGGGTTTCTATTTCATATGTTGCTTCAGCCCTTTAGGCTTTGCTATTGCATAATATAGCGAAGCCCAAACCAATGTACTCCCAGCAGGCATGAACTCAGGTGATTGGAGCAAACCTGGGACCAATGTGCTCATACCTCACCAAGCGGCATAGACGGAGGTCCATGAGCCATTGAAAAGAGGATGAAGGGCCACCTCTCCCAAGAGTGCCTGCGCATCCTAAACCTGCTAGGCAGGAAAGAGGAAGAACCCAACCTGGGCAGGCAGCCTCTCACAAGAGCGCCTAATCCACAGGAAAGTGAAACCTCACTGCAGAAGGGTCAAGGCCGCCTCTCCCAAGAGCGCCTAAAACCCCAGTTCAAAACCATCCTCAAACCGAATGAGCAACAGAGTCAGAGGCGATATACATTAGGTAAAACTGCACAAGGGTCAAGAAGGAGGACCAAGACGCCGCCCTGCAGATCTCCTCCACTGAAATGCCGCAGAACAGTGCCAACGAAGGGGCAACCCCGCGAGTGGAGTGAGCCCTCCACTGGGTGAGAGGCGACAGGCCTTGAGCCTTGTAAGCCAACGGATAGCGTTAGTATAGCGTCCAGTATGGCCCGCACCCCCCCGCTCCTCTCAGGTATAAGGGATAAAGTTTGAACCCCTGGTGTGAAATTTAAATACTTTGCATGCATTCATGAACCAATGCTGGTGGGAAGATGAGAAAAAAACTATTGCAACATTATTTTAAAAGTCTGTTATAGTTTAAAATCTACATTTACAAGACAATTAGTTTTTTTAATGGCACAGGACGGCACAGGACTGCACAGGCCGTCGAATCCGTGTATCATTCGTTCTTTTGATTTTCTAAATAAAACCAACATAGAAAAAACGAATAGCGAGGGATGTTTTTGATTCTCAATATTTGAATTTAATGCAAAATTGAAATATCGGTTTGTTTTTGGTTTTCTGTGGATCCAATTAAAACAAAAATGCAGTAAACCAATAATGATCGTTAGGGTTAGGGTTTGCGATTTCCATTTGAAACACAAGAATCCCCCGGAAGTGATTCGCAAGTGCGCGCCCCGCAGGTAAACAGTGGAGTAGCGGTGGAGATGAACTAAATGATGGGTGCGTTGGAAGACTTTGCAGATACAGCGATAGAATGCTTCTAAAACATTCAAACATATGCAGAAATATCAACCACGTTACACCGACTAGGTTTGTCCAAATGTCAAGTCATTAGTCATGTCCCTTCTTTTTGATACAGTGGTTAATCACGAAAGCAAACTTTTTGAAGTGGCGTTATTTCATCGTATAGGGCTCACAGAAAGGTATTCTGAGTAAATGTATTAATTAAACATGGATCATGTTCCTGCCCAGTATATACATACATATATATTTTTTTTTACATATCAGCCGCCTTAAAACTATTGCTGCTCCATCTCTTTTTCCTGGAATAATTTTATTGCAACATTCAAGAGGGATTCTGTCTCCCGAGGCTCAGGAATCACAGCTTGTTGTGTTTTGGCAAATTATGAAGGCCAAAGACTAAATTCATCATGTATGTAAATCTTCTGTGTGTCTGTTCCAGTGTAAATATTTTTGATTAGTTTGTTCCCAAATTAAAACACACTTGGACACAATTCTGTACATTTTTTTTCTAAATTGTGTTGAATCGCAATGGAAAACCCGTTAAAACAAATACTAAACTATTAGTGGATTATGTATCAATAGATTTATGAATTAGGAAATGACATTCTTAACTAAACAAGACTGTAAAATGACAAGTTGTGTATTTGAATGTACCTTTACAGAACAACTTACACCTTAGACTTCCTTTCAGCAGCAACATGGGTCCAATTTTATTTAGACTTTACTAAGGACTTACATGCAAGCACAGGATGAGGATCCAGAGCTAAGAATGAAAGAACAATACAAAAAAAAAAAAAGCTGTGTTAAAAAGACACATAATCACATATTTACAGCAAGTCACACATACAAAGAAGCCAGTGACTCCAAAGTTTAGAAGTGAACCTGACTGAGCTAATGTAAGGGCAAACCAGGGACTGTACAATACTATTAGGTAACATCATGACTCTACACATGACCGATAGTAGCATTAGGTACCATCATGACTCTACACATGACCGATAGTAGAGTAGCATTAGGTACCATCATGACTCTACACATGACCGATAGTAGCATTAGGTACCATCATGACTCTACACATGACCGATAGTAGCATTAGGTACCATCATGACTCTACACATGACTGATAGCAGCAGTGACGTAGGAAAGGAGCGCACCCTGCACTCAGCAAACATCTGACTGGACGACTGTGTCTGGGATCTTCAGCAGCATCCTCATTGAGTCAAAGAAAACTTAACCTCTGCAGACTGACCTGCTTGTAGCTCCGCCACAGTTGGTTTGTGAATAAAGGAGCCCAAAAAGACTGGAACAAAGAGGTTTATACATTCACAGAGCACATGTTAGACTTCCTAACCAGCATGTTAGATTGACCATACAGTTTACATCTCTATCTGTGAGGTCACTGCGTGTGTAATGCCCATTAAGACCAGGACAACTGGATTTAAGAACAGTTTTTACACTTTCAAATGTGACAGAACATAATGTACACTGATGAGTACGTGCTTTTTCATGCAATTATTCTAATTTTGTAACATAAATTTACAATGATAAACACAAGTTGAAAGTTTAAAATGTAAAGGAACAAAAGGGAGATTTGTAGATCAGTTATTATTAATTTTATTGCATTGACATAAACACATCCATCTTTGCAGATCACTGGTACAGGCCAGGACCAGCTGGAGAGCTTTGCAGATCACTGGTACAGGCCAGGACCAGCTGGAGAGCTTTGCAGATCACTGGTACAGGCCAGGACCAGCTGGAGAGCTTTGCAGATCACTGGTACAGGCCAAGGCTGGGAGTAGTGTGAAGTCTGAAACCTTTACCTGCTGCACACCCAGTGAGATCTAAAACAGAAAAGTGGGTTTAGAACAGACATATAATTATTACTTGTTATAACTTAACTATCTTATAAAGTCAGCAGAAGAGAAATAGTAACCACCAAACAGAAAGATGCTATGCTAGTCTTCTATCAGGACAGGAACTCAAGCTGAACATGAGCCCAACGGCTTTGACTGTTTCAAACCTGCAGTCTTTCTGACTGTTTCAAACTGGCAGTCGGAGGGCTCCTCGTTTCTCTTCATAAGCCTGAAGCATCTAGCTCTAACTACTGTCCCTCGACAATAATTGAGAATGAAGCAGAAACAAAGCACAATTGAATGGTTAAGGTACATCTAGCATCATCTTTTATTTACTAAAATTTAGCATGATTACTTTCACCAATACACAAACATATAATGTTCTTATATAATATATAAAAGTCTATAACATACATTTGTAACATAGATTTTTGTATTTACTTATTTACATTTGGGTAATCTTTATATTATTTGAGTATATTAGTTCATAATTTTCTGTTATTGATTAATATTGTTTTTGTTTTTTTTAAACAATATTTTTATAGAATTTTAGTAAATATTTGCATAAAAAAACAAAACAAAAAGACAACACACACACACAGACATTGCCAGTCGAAGTTGGTACCAAATGACCACTAATAATAAAATCTGAAAAAAAATAAAAATAAAATAACAAACTTATACAAAAATCAAAATACAAGTCACTTTTTTCCCAAAAAATCAATCAAGGGTCTCCATAAGTTTTCAAATTCCTCCCCTCTTCCTCTTGTAACATATGTAAGTCTTTCAAGTGCAATGCACAATGTCATTTCCTGTAGCCACAACTTTAAAGGAGGAACATCCACGTTTTTCCAAAATAAGGCAATAGTTCTTCTGGCCAGCAGAAGACCAAAGTCTATTAGAGTGGTTTTCTTTTTACTTACCATAAGGTGCTTAGGGTATATCCCTAAAATACAAAGTGTTGCACAATGAGGAACTTCAATTCCAACTATTGTGGAGATAGTTTGGATAACAGACTTCCAATATTTCTTAATTTTCCAACAGTCCCATAAACAATGAAAGAGAGTTCCTTTATCAGTAAAACATTTATTACAGTTATCAGGAATGTCAGGGGTCCACTGATGTAACTTCACAGGAGTCACATAGGTTCTCATTAGCCATTTATATTGTAATAACCTCATTCTAGTATTAATTGTTTGCTTTTGTGCTTTAAGACATGCATTTTCCCAATCGGCTACCTCAACATTTTCCATGCTTCTAGTCTGTCCCTACTAGATTCTGTATCATGTGACACCAGAGCTCTATAAAAAACAGAAATAAGCTTCTTTCCTTGCAAATTTGACATTACAATATTCTCTAGAAGTGACAATCGAGGTTCCATCATAAAGTTTTTAAACAATGATGACATAAAGTGTTTTAATTGTAAATATTTGAAGAAATGCTTACTAGGAATAGACAACCTTTGAGAAATTTGCTCAAAAGTAAGCATTTCTCCATCCAAATATAGATCACCAATTGATTTTAGACCTTTGTCTGCCCATACTTTAAAGCCTCCGTCCGCTCTTCCAGGTTTAAACATGGTGTTGCCCCATATGGGAGAGAAGCGTGAGAGCGAAGGGGTGTCCCCAACATGTTTATGGGACCTATACCAGATATCAATTGTGTTCTTCAGAAATGGATTATTGGTCTGTTTTTTAAGTACTTTAAAGTCAGCTGAGTATAAATAATGTTTTAGCAAAAAATTTGGTACTGATTCCTGTTCAATAATTACCCAAGCGGGTAGTGTTTGTGTTGAAAAATAATACATAGCCGAACGCAACTGAGCTGACCAATAATACCACTTAAAGTTGGGTAGTTGTAACCCTCCAGTTTCATAGGGCATGTAAAGCAGCCTCAGTCTCAATCTGGCTTTCTTATTATTCCAAACAAAGCATTCACAAGCATTCTATTAAGTTTGGTAAAGAAGCTGTTTGATAATGAAAGTGGTATAGTTTGAAATAAATATAAAAATTTTAGCAAGATGCTCATTTTAATTATATGTATGCCACCCATCATTGAGATAGGAAGAGTCATCCATCTATCCAGTGATTGCTGAACTTCAGACATTAAAGGATCAAAATTTGCTTGAACTATATTTTTAATATCAGGGGTGATCCTGACACCCAAGTAAGTGAATCCCTCTTGCGCATTTAAGAAAGGGGTGGTGACTGCAGGATTCAGTCTTTCCTCATCATTTAAGAATAAAATCGAAGACTTAGAATCATTAATGACATAACCAGAGAATTGGCCAAATGTGTTAATTTGCTTCGTCAAATTTGGAAGACTTGTGGTTAGATTAGACAAAAAAAGGATAACATCATCAGCATAGAGTGAGATCTTATGCTCATAATCTCCAATGCGTATGCCTGACAAACCTCTGTCAGCACGGATTGAAAGAGCCAGGGGTTCTATAGCTAAAATAAAAAGCATTGGTGAAAGGGGACAGCCCTGGCGCGTAGATCTTTCCAGTATAATTGGTTTAGAGGAAGTGCTGTTAGTAACAATACT